TGTTAAAAGAAGACACAGTTTTGTCAATCTTGGTTAAAATTGAGACGAGATTATACTGTATTAGATTATATATTATATTATTTTTTTTTTAATTACTAGATTATTATTTATTTTCTATAACATTTTTATATTCATTTGCCAAATCCATCAGCAAGTTCTTTTCTGCTGTACTAAAATTTGATGATCTTTTCTTTCTCTTGCTTAGCCATCACCACAATTATAAGCTTAATTTATTTTTGACGTTATATTTTGATTTTCTTGTCATTTACTTTCACCAAACAATCAAACTTGTGCTCACATTTTTTTGACAATATCTAATAGGTAAACCCTTAACCAGTACTTCAATCTAGTGGGTATCCAAATGTCATATTTATCTATAAGATTACCTAAACTACGGGTGGATAAACGATTCGTCGACGATGTCTATCAGCTACAATTTTAATTGACAGATAAATCGTCTTAACTAGATATTGATAAACCGGCCCTTAGACAATTTAAATAAGAGTACCTTTTTTATGTAAAATTGAATGCCCTTTGTGATTTGTAACTCTTATTGGTCATAGCTCGACAGCTAAAAAACTTATGATTTGATTTATCAAACGCGCAGTGTGTATCTAGCGCTCTCTACTAGCAATAACAAAACAAGTTTCAAATTCGTATTTCTCATGTTCGAAATCATAAAACTGCCAAATTTTATGTTAATAGTACAAATAGCTTTAAAATTATCAAGAAATTTCTAAATAAGAATTTAACTTTCAATACCGTGTGCCTCGAAAACTACTAACATTTGTATAAGAGATGTTAGGTTAAATCATCATATTTTGATTTCCCATTCTTTCTGACTCATTCTGTATATTTTATAAAAATTAATTTATGTATTTTAACAACTAATTCTTTGTGTAGACACCAGACATTTTTGAAATGTGGTTTAGAAATAAATTTGGTCTACACGTAAAAAATAATGGACGGCAAAGGTCTCCCTCAAAAAGCAATATTGCTTCTTGACAATGCGCGATCTCATCTGCCAGTTGAAGCGTTGTCAGCTGCGAACGGGAATATCACAGTTTTGTGTCTTCCGTCAAATGTGATCGTCCTAATTCAACCCATGGATCAGAGCATGAAGAGATTGTACAGAAAAAAAAAATTAATGAAGGATCTAGTCGCAAAAGACAACAGTTTTGAAAATCAATGCTTCGAGATGCTGTATACAACATATCGTATGCCTGGGAGAATGTGAAAGTTATCACAATTGAAAAATATAAACATATTGAAAAATATTTTAACAATATTTTATGTGATGAATCAGCTGAAGAACATATAATTGATAGTGATGAATCTTTACATGTGTTTCAGTCGCTAAAAAATGTTCAGGGCTGTGAAGAACTGGATGACGAAAATATTCTGGAATGGCTAAATATTGACTCGAATGTTTTGGACTGTGAACACATGACCGACAATGATCTAGTATCTAGTCGATAGTGTCACCAAACCAATCTTTGAACCGAGTTCACTCCAATAATGTAGTGATGATGACGTAGAAGATGACACCTTAGAACTACAATCCAAAGTCAGCTGCAAGGAAACGCTAGTAGGTGTTGAAACTCTTTTAAATTTTATGGAACAGCAAGATTATGTTTAATAAATAACTTTCGTTCTCGAATGCAAAAGTGTCATTTCGCTATCATGTATCAAAAATAACTAGTTTATTATTATTATTTAGTTTTATAGTAAACAAGGTTGTTTTACACCAGTTTATTTCTTTCATTATACAATTCTCACCTCTGCAGAATTTACAAAGAAAATAAAATTAAACCATTTAGACCACGATTTAGACAGACTTTGGATGTCGGCGATGATGCCAAACGTTTGGATTTCTGTCTTGAGATTGGTAATGATGAAAACACCTTTTCAACAAATGACATTGTTTCTTCCCAGCATTGTCGTTATTGGAGTGATGTAAATCCAATTACCCTTACATTTTATACAGTCAATGTACTTTCAGCAAGAGAGTTGCCCAGCTTACCATTCACACATTGTGCCGAATAGTTAAATGTACAATTTCGTCAAAAATGGTTTGGACGAAATGGTCTTATTTGATGGCCAGCACGTGTTCCTGATGTTAACAAATTGTTTACAGTGAATCATTACAAGACGATACAGAACTATTAAAACTAAGAATAATTAATGCGATAGAATCACTACCACTGGCGGAAATTTGTAATTCTTATAAAGAATTTAGAACTCGTCTTCAAATGTGTCCCGAATTAGGAGGTGATTTGTTTGAATGAATAGTTGATTTGTTCACTTACAAACTTACATAGTGTGTTATTACATAAATTTACATTTAAAATATTTTATTCAATTACCCATATTTTAATTTGATTTGTCCGTATATTTTTCAATAACATAAGTTGTAACATTTATGGTTTCTATGGTTACATATCGTAAATTGAACTTGAAAAATGGGAATAATTAGTTAACTTCTATAGTTAGAATATAAAGTTCGTGCGATTTAGTGGTTTGAATATATCCGACGCATTATTTATGCTGAGATAACTTTGACAAATCAGTAATACATTTTTTTTCCTGTTTGTAACTCGATCCGGGGACATACTGTATATCTTGGAACATGGATTCTATCACACTTGTAATTTTTGGTAGCTGAACATGCCAATATGTGGGATGACATTGATTTAGCTTTAACCATTTTCCTGCAAGATGGATTGGTCGTGCTGGACCAGTCGCATGGCACCCACGATCTGCAGATCTTATTGGTTTAGACTTTTTTGTGTGGAGATATTTGAAAAGAAAATTGTATGAGACACCTGTTCCCACAAGGGATAAACTTATTAATAGGATTAGGAACGCTTGTAATGACATAAGACCGTTCTTAAACACCATTACTCGATCACACTAAGAGAAATAGATTGTACGAATCGTATAGAAAAAATATTATACATGCAGCAATTCACTGTATATATGGAGCAATTCATTATATTATATTCATTATATTTATATGCTTCAGTATAATCTCGTCTCGCTGTCACTAACGTATTAAATATTATATTACCTTATAGTATATTTTTAGCGCATAGTACAATCCATTTCTCTCAGTGCAGTAATTCGTCGGTTAGAATTATGCAAGCAAAATTTTTTAGATTCTCAACACTTTCTTTAATTTTTTTCTTTTATTATGTTGATTAAAAAACGTTAATAAACTAAAACGTTAGTTAATGTACCTACTTTGTTTCCATGGCACACATTATTTTAACTATATTTAACTACCCTCTAAAAAATTGGTCTGTGTCGAATAATAAAAAGCGGATTATCTGGAAAACGATAAACTTTAGCGCATTTTAATAAGAGTACCCTTTTTGCTTAAAAAAGTACAGAGAATAAGAATTTTTATTCAAAAAGCCAAAAAGTGTACTGTCAGAAAAGTTATTGTTATTTTAATCCGTAAAGAATACAGAGCGTAGGTTACAAAGCGGAGTAAGACGGATAAACTCCATAATCGTCTTTCTCATGCCAAAAAACCTCACTGTTAATTTGAAAAGATCTATCGACTTTTAAAGTCCTGCTACAAAAGCCTGAAACACCCTGTATATCTGGCGGATAACTATCTTATCGGCTGAGTACCCGATAAGTTATCCTGCCGATAATCTCGCCAACAAAAACATCAGTGACATCAGGCTCGAATTTAGTCAAAAGCAGCCGTAAGTCATCGTAATGTTAATAACATTTAAACGATTTCTATGTTTAGTTAGCAGCGTTGCTACAATAAAACAAAGATTACACAAATATGACGATGGGGAAATACTATCAAAAATCGTTGAAAAATCGACCATAATCCAGGGTACAATTACGGCATTGCCTTTTGTAGCCAAAAGTCTTTGTAGACGTTTTTAAATTTGATTTTTGTTTCCTCGTTTATTGTTAGTTCTATAAGTTCTTTTTGCAGCAAGATCATTCTTGCTGTTGACATTTGACACCCACTCTGGTATTTCTAATTTTAAAATGTCCTGGAAACAATCTTTGAAATTACTATGAAGATAGAAAGCAGCGATGACATGCTTTGTTTTAATCAAATCGTCACCTTGAAGTTGAGGATTTATATCATTAAATAATTTATATCTACAGGTTTGTCAAGTACGCAATATCAATTTTTTGATGTGATGAGGTTGTCATGCTATTCTGTATCTTTGTTTTCCAAGAAATTTATTATAGAGTTAAACAGATTTTAAAATACAGTGCAAGAAGTACGTTGATAGTCTGTGTGAAACAGTAATCGGTTGAAATCTTCATTAATAGCAACACAAAACTATTTAAATAAGCTGTCATTTAAAGAGCTGTTTCGGATCTTATTGACAGTTTTGATCGAAATAGTCATTTATTAACCTTTGTACCGCCCTGTCATAGCTAGAGCGAATGGCAGCTGATATAATATTGTTGAAACGAACTTCTTTCTTATTACAAAACTTTCAAATCAGCCATCGCCCTTCTAAATCGCTTCAACACTCCCAATTTTCCGCCTCCATGTAGGCCTCTAGCGTCCACAAGGAAGCGTTATCGCCCACTTTGAGAAATACTGCTCTAGAATGTAGAATTCAGAATTTCAACAGAATAGAATGTAGTAAAATTTCAAAAGTCTAGAATGCAGAATGTAGAATTTCTACATTCTATAATATAGAATTTCTGTACTCCAGAATGTAGAGTTTTGAATTTCTACACAATACAATATAGAATTTTGAATTTCTTAACAATAGAATGTATAATTTTTTCTGTAAATGCAAATTTATTCATCAAAGTTCATCTTACCTCTATTATTTGTATAAAATATAAAATCAAAGTGTAAGATAAGTTGGTTTTATGACATTATATAACAAAAATTCCTATTAATGTTGCCAACTTTACAATAATTTCAAATGTATTGTAAAAAACAAACTGTTTTTAACTTATTAAAAATCTGATATTTGAATTTTTTATGACTAATTATAAATATAATTAATTTGATTTTCTTCATTTTCAGATGGTACTTTTTGGAATTTATCAAACCGAGTGTTCCCCATCATTTTATAATCCATATTACAGAACTTATCCATATGTACAGTCTTCCTATCAATATAACATTCCAGAAGTCATCCCTCAAGCGATACCACCTCCACAAACCTTTTACGAAAACGTTCCAATTTTACCACCTCCATCACTTTTACCACCCTTAAATATCTTGGCGGAATCGCCATCGTCGATATCAACATCTTTCACCGTTGTACCGATGGTTTTGGTTGCAAAAGAAAATATGAACATGATTTCGGAGGGTAAAATAATGAAAATTTCGAAAGAAAAACCTGAGATGACTTTGAAAATTAATAAAACTTCAAATTTATTGCAAGCAACTCCGGCTGTAAAAATCTCTTTGGATCAACCGATTTTGGTTTATTCGGTTCGTTCGGAAATTCTTTTCCCTTCAAATATCGAAATCGTGCATCAAGGTTATAAATTACCAATTAGAATTGGAAGTATAATCGCTCCCGTTGATTACCATGCTTTTATTAATAATTATAATCAAGGACCTATACAGCTAAACGAAGTTTTTGCGGTCCCTGCTGAACCCGTAAAAATCGATTACGTTAATAACGATAAAGGTGTTATTATTAAACCGGAGGATGATGCGGTTATTATTGAGAATAATTCAAATTTATTAACACCATCCAAAAATGTTACCGTTTTAATCTTTCCAACTAAAGAGGATGAACCACTATTAATTCCTGACGAAGAAGATGACGAATTAGGTTAGATTTGTTATTAATTAATTAAATAATATGTTATTTTACTTAATTTTTAGTGAACAGAAATCCTCCGATAGTTCTTGCTCCTGGTGGAATTTCAGCTTCCCTTCAACCAACAATTGTGGAAAGTCCGTTTGAGAATTCTAAAGAATCATTTATTTTACAACAATTAAGAGAAGAAGCTTTGAAACGATATTAAAAAGATCTATTCAACAACGTTTAAAATTAAATCATTTAAATTAAATCGTTCAGAAAAGTGAGAGGTAATTGAGTGATTGAACTCGAGTAAACTTCTTTAATTTTTAAATCGTGCGTGGGATGTGTTGATCGGAAAACCTGTTTGCTTCTCTGAAAACGACGCGATGATAAATTATTTTATAAACTGATGATTGAATTAAAGCTGCTTTTTATCAATTAATTTTGTTTTTTTTTTATTTTGTATAAATTATATTTATTTTCTCGCATACAAAGAGTAAATAATGGATCGTGGAATAATTTCATCACGAGATCCATCTTTACTATTTTCAGAATTATGTTAAGAAAACAAGATTTGCATGTTAATGACAAGGACAATAACATGGAAATCACTGAAAACTTTTGAAGTCGAATTATATGCATTAAACTACATTACATTACATTACATTGCATTGACTATATATCGGGTAGGCGGACCAACCAACCTTGCACCGCGACCCTAAGGATCTATTGTACCCCGATAGATATCGTTATCAAATTTCACCGTGCAGTCCAATGCTCTTAACGAACATTAATACCTTGCTCGGCGAAAGGTCATTCAGATCCCTTGAGGAGATAAACTGCGACCCAAAAATCGAGAATCTGATACGGTTAACGGCAGGGCAGTGGCATAAAACATGCTCAACCGTCTCTGCTTCCTCCGCACATAGTCGGCATTCAACATCGTCGGCTAAACCCAACAAGTTGAGGTGTGTTTTTAATCGGCAGTGACCAGTAAAAACACCCATTAGAACTTTTATGCTACTGCGGGTAAGTTCTAAAATATTCCCGGGTTTGACAGTGGCGATGTTAATAAAAACCTTAGCATGTCTCATTCCAGGAGAATTGGTCCACAGTAGGCGAAGTCTCTCTTCAGCCCACAGTCCAATCCTATATTTGGCCATCACAAATGATACACCAACTGCTGGTTCCGGCCCCACAAACGCTTCAGCGCTGCCATCTCGTGCTAGCTTATCTGCCGCTTCATTGCCAGCAACCCCAGAGTGACCCGGGACCCAGATCAGAGAGACTCTGTTATCACAACTCAGTGTGTTTAATGTTCTCTTACAATCATTAACCAGAGCCGACACCGTTTTCACGGCTTGCAGCGCCTGGAGAGCGGCTTGACTGTCTGAGAAAATTCGTACTGTCATGTTCTTCACCCCTCTTTCAAGAAGGATTTTAGCACCCATGTCAATAGCAAATACTTCCGCCTGGAATACAGTACAGTACGTACCCAGGCTGTAGGCTTGCTTAATTCGAGGTGTCTGGCAGTATACTCCTGCTCCTACCCCTTCAGGCGTTTTTGATCCATCTGTGTACAAGCAAATGTCTGCCCGAACCAGAGAATTTTCATTTTCGATCCAGGACTGCCGCTCAGGCAGTACAATCTGGTATCGAGCATTAATCACTGATAGTGATACCGCCAAATCTGACGGCATTGATAGCACAGTATCAGTGCTTATAATGTCTTCCGCAGCCCATTGGTAGGACATGTCGGAACAGTTTTGAGCATATTGCTTAAATCTGTAAATGGTTGTTCTAGCCACTTTCTCTATATGCAAATGCAGAGGAGATAGGCCAAGCAGAACCTCCATTGCTAGAGTTGGCGTTGTGCCTATCGCACCAGAGATTGCCAATCCAGCTACTCGTTGAATTCGTGAAAGTTTACTGATAACTGAAGTCTGTCGGACTTTCCTATACCAGGCTGCTGCTCCGTATGTGATCATAGGTCTAACCACAGTCACATAGAGCCAGTACAGTCTTTCAGGGGTAAGACCCCAATTTTTTCCACAAAGACTGCGACAAGTCCACAAGGATAGTCTAGCTTTGTGCAAAACTCCCTGCAAATGTCCATTCCATGACAGGGTTTTGTCTAGGATTACTCCTAGATATTTGACTTCCTTTGAGAAAGGAATTTCTTCACCTTGGATAGTTGGGCGGATTAGTCCATCCAACTTTCGCTTCCTGGTGAAGGGCACAACAATTGTCTTTTGCGGGTTTATTGAGAGGTTCTCTCCCTTACACCAAGCGCAAATGGTATCTAGGGTCACCTGGAGGACTTTAGATATCCTCGGCAAACAGGTTCCTTTGACCATAACGACAATGTCATCAGCATAAGCTTGTATTTCCACACCAACGGCTTCGACTATCGCAATCAGATCGTCAACTAGGAGGGACCAAAGCAGGGGAGATAACACCCCTCCCTGCGGGCAGCCACCTCCCGGCCTGAAGCGTATCGTATCACCGTGGAGTGAAGTAGAAACTATTCTACTATCTAGCATATTGCGGATCCAACCCGCTATAGTTGCTTCCACTCCCCTGTCAAGAGCAGCTCTTTCAAGAGATTGTGGTATTGCGTTGTTGAACGCTCCCTCTATATCCAGAAACGCACAAACCAAGATTTCTTTATCCTGCAGCGTCCTGGATACTCTACCAACTAAGTTGTGTAGAGCCAATTCTGCTGATTTTCCCGCTTGATAAGCATACTGGTGGCGACTCAGTGGACCAGATACCAATGGCACCGTACGGATATACCGTTCCAGAACTTTTTCAAGGGTTTTCAGCAGAAATGACGTTAGGCTGATGGGTCGAAAGGCATTAGAAGTAGGGACCGAACGGCCCGCTTTGGGTATGTAAGATACCCGTACCTTAGTCCATTCTGCCGGCACATATTTCCAGGCGACACTCGCTCTGAAAATTTTTACCAAAATTGGCAACAACAAAGACCTCCCCTGCTGTAACAAAGCAGGAAAGATATTGTCTTCTCCAGGCGATTTGAACGGCTTAAACGTTTGAATTGCCTGGTCCACGGATGTGTAAGTGACGACTTTTCTAGCCACACTCCAATCCGTATTTGAGGGGCGCTTTGCCTTGCAGGAATAGCCCGCTGTGGCATTATCGGCCCTCATCATCAGGCTTCCTGGGAAGTGAGTCTGTATGAGAAGCTCCAACGAGGCTCTGCTAGAGTTCGTAAAACTACCGCCAGGCCGCCTAAGTGAGCCCTAGTAGTGCCGGATCTCTAGCGAGAATCTTGTGAATTCTTGCACTGCTGGGTGTGTCTTTCACTCTCTCACAGAACCTCCTCCAAGACTCCCTTTTTGCCTTACTTTTTGCATTAAACTATGTGAAAGACTCAATTCTGAACGTTATCAAAAGCAAATGATTCATTTGTACCGTGAATTGTTTCACAAACTGTCTAAACATTAAACTTAACTATAGAAGCTGAGGTTATATACAATATACAGGTGATTTATTAGCTCACCATCAAACTTAGACATATGATTGCTAATCCAATAACCAAAAAGAAATGTTAATGAACATAATATGTTCATTATTATGTCCTATAAATTTCAATTATTTACGAAATTATAACACTTTATTTTTTAATTTTTATATCATAATTAACTGCTACATTATTTTTAAAACACATAGATATGACAAATATTGTTCAAAATAGCCTCCTTCTGCTAGAATACATGCTTCATAACAATGAATTAAAGAGTTCTTCAGCCGAATTAAAATGTCTGGTTGATTTCTTATTTCAGCAGCAGCTATTTGTATTCTGTTTAATAACTGTTCTCGTGTGTTAATTTCCACTTGATACACAATTTGTTTCTTATGACCCCATAAGTAGAAATCCAATGGATTAAGATCGGGGGATCTAGGTTGCTAAGCAAATGGACCATTATTACCAATTAACTTATTTGGAAAATGTTGGTTTAATCACTCGACAACTACTCTTCCGCGATGAGGTGGGGAACCATCGTGCTGGTACCACATATTTTGAATTACATCAAATACGTGGTTACCGCACATGCTCCGCGTTTGCTCCGTATTTGCTCTGCGTTTGCGCCCCAAACAGCAAACGTTTGTTTTACTATTCCTTTCGCGCTAGAACACTGCAGCAGGTTTACACTTGTTAAATATGGAAGACGAAAAACTGATAGAATGTGTTCGTAAGTACGAATTTTTGTATAATCTTCAACATCCAAAATATATGGATACTCAAAGGAAAGAGAGGCCTGGAAGGAAATTTCGAAGGAAATAAAACAACCAGGTATGTTGATTAAATTGTTGTTTTTTTTTATTACGTAGGTATCCAGTCTATTTGACCTTGAGTTGTTTGAAAGAAATTCGCAAATAGGTCGCGTGTTTCAAAAGCTGTAGAAACTGCATTTCCTCCTTGATGTTTTAGGTTGTTCAACTGTACAGAAGTAGTTACTTCCGTAAAAATTGCAGGTTCTCCGCGTCTTATGAAGTTATGTAAAATGCAAGTGGTTAATACAATTTTTTCTGCATATACTGGCTTCAAATGCAAACGTCTATTATAAATACGAAATTTTTGACTTAATATTCCGAATGCATTTTCCACGACACGTCGAGCCCGACAAAGGCGATAGTTATAGTGGGGTTTCTTATTATCATTAATAGACTGTTGTGATGGATAAGGTCTTAGGAGGTTATTTTTTAAAGGAAAAGCTTCGTCTCCTAACAGTACACATGGAGCACTTATATTAGTCCCGGGAAATTTTTTAGTAATTGGTATATTAAATTTATTATCATATATAGCTTTTCTCATATTTGATTTTGACAAAATACCCATATATAATAATCACTATCCTTTCCGATGGCACCGACGTTTACAGCTATAAAGTTATAATTCGCGTCAACCATAGCCAAAAGTACAATAGAAAATGTTTTTTTATAATTAAAATAAAGAGATCCACTATTTGGAGGTGCTACAATAACAACGTGCTTTCCGTCGATAGCACCTACACAGTTAGGAAATTTTCATTTATTCCAAAATTCATCAATGTTTTTTTCCCAATGTTCAGTGCTAGGCTTGGGAATAACTTCTCGAAATATGTTTTTTATTATAGCATCGCAATCGTCCAACACAGCACGTCTCATAGTACTTAGTCCCATACGACAGTTAAAGGCAATACTTGTGAACGAATGACCAGTTGCTAAGTACCTGAAAATAAAATATCAATATGTAATTATTTTATGTTACAGTTGCAGCTTGTAAACAAAAATGGCAAACGTTAAGAGATGCGTATAGAAGATCATTAAATAAAAAGAAAGGCAAAAGTGGACAGGCAAAAGAACAAAAAAAATGGAAATACGAAGGCGAGATGTCATTTGTTGCTCCATTTTTCGTAGATAGAAAAACTTTAGAGT